ACATCGATAAATTTATGGAGACTGTCAAAACTGGCATGATAAAATCAATTCCACAGGTATCCTGTCAATACAAACCCGACAACATACCTCCCCAACTACAATTTTTTATTTTTATAAAAAATAAATTCCGGAAAAAAATACCAGCTCACCAGGAACATAAGTATAAATTCGTTTAAACAGTTGTAAGAACTTAAAGTGGCAGGAAACTCTTAGAGAACTGTCCCCTGGTAGTAAAAAATTTTGGAAAATACACAAAATTCTAACAAATCGTCCCCACCATATCCCTCCAATCAAACTATCAAACAATTTCGGCTATTCTAATACAGAGAAGGCAGAAGCCATGGCAAACTATTTCACATTAGAATCTAATATTTCGGCTGATCTAGGCACCAACAACCACAATCGAACTATCATTAAATCCGTAAAAAGCTTTCTCAAAGAACCAGTTCCAAATACATTCCCTTCAATCTCATTCAAAGAAGTGAAACAGGTTATAAAGGAGTTAAAAACTAAAAAATCGCCCGGTCCAGACTCTATACCTCCAATTGCCATTAAGAAATTAAGCAAAAAGGCTATTTTATTCCTAACAAAGACGTATAACTGTATGCTTCGCTTTAGATATTTTCCGACGGCTTGGAAAACAGCAAAAATCATAACGATTCCGAAGCCAAACAAAGACCCAGCAGATGTTCGTAGTTACAGACCAATAAGTCTACTTAACATAATTTCAAAACTTTTTGAAAAACTACTTTTAAAAAGAATCCTGAGCCATATATCTCAAAATAATCTGATATCTAACGAGCAATTCGGGTTCAGAAAACAACACTCAACAGTAGCCCAACTAGCCAGACTGACCGACTATATTACCAAAGCGTTCAATGAAAAGGAGCACGTCGGTATGCTCCTCCTAGACATTGAAAAAGATTTGACACAGTATGGCATGAGGGTATTAACCGTAAACTCATTTTATATAAATTTCCACCTTACATTATCCACCTCCTTCACTCATATCTCAACAATAGCTCCTTTTGCATTACAATAAAGAATGACCATTCCTCAATCCATTTCCTATCTGCAGGTCTACCTCAAGGCTCCTGTCTTTCTCCTACACTATTCAGCCTATACATCTCAGACCTCCCTTCCATTCCTTCAATAGAATACTCCTTATATGCAGATGATACAGCTATTTACACCTCTTCTTTTAGAATCGATACTATAACTAACAGGTTACAATCCCCATTCATAAAACTCTGCAAGTATTTTGAAAAATGGAAAATAAAAATAAATGATAAAAAAAAACTGAAGCAATTACTTTTACAAAAAGAAGACCACGCATAAACCATAATATACACATAAAAGAAGTACAGATTCCTTGGTCCAATTCCGTGAAATATTTAGGACTAGAATTTGATAGGTCCCTAAATTTTACCCAACGTATCAACAACAAGTGCAATAAAGCAAAAAACATGATCAGCAAAATGTCACCATATTTTAATAGATATTCACAATTGAATGCAAAAAATAAAATAATTTTATATAAAACAGTAATCCGCCCTTTAATCACTTATTCTGTCCCAGTATGGAGTATATACATGCCAGACTAATTACAAAAAAACTCGAAGTAATTCAAAATATGTGTATGAGAAGCCCCCCTCCCCCAAAATGGAAAAATATAACCATGTTTTAAGGAGAAAAACAAAATTTAAAATACCTCTTAAAGTATTATTGTTCGTGTAATTACATTTAAAAGTACTTAAGGAATAAGTTAAACACCATTTCATATAGGTAGTTAGTTTCTTTCTGTTTTTCCAAAGTAATTATCGTTATTTTTATGAAAAAAACAGGTTTCGGGCTGAAGCCCCCCAACATTAAATCCTGGATCCGCTAGTGTCTTTAATCTATGTATTAGCACTTCATGTTTTAACATAAAAAGTCAATACTTTTTATTTCCTTACTTTTTCTTTTTTTTTTTTCTTTTCTGGAGGTTTTGCTCTTTCTTTCTATACATGTAATTCTTTTTTTTTTTTTTTTTTTTTTTTTTTGTTGTTTTCCAGTACAATTATAATTATAGTTGAGAAGATTTTATTTTATTTTTTAGTTGTTTACATAATATAATTTAAGTTGTATATATTGTTTGAATCTTTATTAAGTTAGATTTCGGTCAGATGTGTATTTTTTATTTTGTAACTGTTCATAATTGTTATTCTAAGGGGAAATCGTCCCAGAGTTTATTTCTATTTCTAGTTTAAATAAAGATGGGTCCGGAAAAGTCGGGCACCCTCGGTTGTCTCCGAATTCCAAGTTTCCGTGTTTTACTAACCATTATTTCTCCTTTAGTTAATTATCAAATTCGAGCATAGTTTATATTTAACTGTTTTTAGTACTAGTTACAATGTGAAGTTGTAAATTATTTTAAATAAACGAAATTAAAGGCACTTTGGAGGAAGAAATTTTGAAAATTCGGCGTTTAAGCCTTGTTAGACTATTTCCATGGAGATTATACCTTTAATTTTCGAAGAAATTGTAAAAATGTGTAAATTTGATAAAATTAAGTGCCACTTCTGGTTAGTTGATTAAAATATTGTTGTTGTAGTGCAGGCATACACCTACGTTAAATACTTAATGTCAGTTTCGTACAACTGTTTGTTATTGAACCCTTTTTTTTTTGTACTCTCGGAACCTCAAAACGTTCATTTCCGTTGAAAATTCGGCTTCGAAATCCTTCAGGATCACAATATTAGCCCTTGGTATGTATATCATATACAAATAAGTAAAAGCACAAATAAATTACCAGAGGTTAGCCCTTGCAAGTCATAACTTGATTTATAAAATGCTAAAATATTTCTAAATTAAATAACTTGAAACCAGTCGAATATTTGGGATTAAATAGTAAATATGTTTTGCTATATGTAATCAGTATCGTAATTTTTTTTTTTTTTTAATCTGTTTATTGAATAATAATACAATCAGCCACTGCTGGAGGGCTATAAACATTAGGGCTAAAAGTTCTCATTCATACAATATATACAAATAATAAAGAAATAGATATAAATATAAGAAGTAAATAAATAATACTGGTGAAGAAGTTAAATAAAAATAAAAAAATAAAATAAACAAATAAAATAAAATAAAAACTTCTAAACACAATCATACCTATATACAATATATACATTCGCCCAAGAATCTACGAACAAGGCTTTTTTCCCCACACGTGGAAGGCAAAGCATGACTCCGGAAGATCCCAGCGCCACTTTTCCAGCCGCATCACTAGTATTAAGTATCGTAAATTGGATTTTCAATCATTGTAGGCAATCAAGTATAACTTAAATTTCTTATTTAAAAAAAAAAATATTTATGCTTAACTTAAGTTGATTGCGGCAAATTTTATAACATATTAACCATCAAAGATAACTATTAATCATCTTGAAACTTTAAAAGAAAATTATTGCTTAAATTTTCATTACTACAGTTATTTTTTAAAATATTTATTTAATTTTTGGGGCCACATCGTACTATAACACACAGCACTTTTGTATACATTAAATTTGATTTTATTCCTCAATTGAATATGAACACTTTTTATTAATTACTTCTGTAATGTTTATTATTTACAAATTTTGTAATAAATAAATACTATAAAGTGTTACTTTAATTACTTACTAATAATACCGAAATATGCTTTAATTTAACAGATAAATCAAGTATACAAAACAACCAAGCTACGCTAGTTAAATCATTTTTTAAAAATTAACTTAATAAAAAATTATTTATAAATGCAAATTAAACATTGAATATCGAATATATACACTAAAATTAGAAATTATAAGTATTTATAAATGAAAAAATAAGAAATGGCAAAGAAGAAATAATTTTAATAGCAACATTTAATTTTAACCATAATTTTTTCAGTACAAACTAAGTGTGCATTGTACTTAAAAATAGTTGTAAATTGTTCTAAACCTTTGTTTTCTTTTTTTTAAACTTATGTCCAACTTGAAAATGTAAAATTAACGGATTTTTTTGATAATGTATAATATATATATATATTCATAATAGTACAGACAATTATTTTAACATACCCTCTGTTCCTATAATAATTCTACAGAGAATATGTTGGCCAGAGATATTATAGAAGAATAAAAGAAAGTGTATTAATTATAGAACAGTATAAGAAAGACAAAGAAAAACAATAATCAAGTGAAAAGCACTGTTGAGAAACTATGTTTAAAAAAATAAATTACAAACGTTCTTCAGTAGCCGACAGTTAAAAAGTGGAGATTTCTCCTTATATCATATGATATAAGGAAAAGCAACAAAGTAAGAACAAATTCATAGGTGGATTGCTCAATAAAAGGTATTTTGCAACTGATTCATATAATACATCGTGGAAACGTATTGTAGTAAATATATATATATATATATATATACACAGTTAATAATTCAAGACAATTTGTAATAAATGTTTTAGTAATATGTAGGAAAATTACAGGACGCACATATTTTGATATAACTTTAAATCAATAAAAAAACAAAAACAAGATATTACAAAGTCAATTTTTTGCCGCTATAGATTTTTATTTTTGTTTGAATGAAAGGAGGTGTACATCATGTGCGATATCAATTCTCGTACGAACTATTGGCTTATACAAGATATATAGTTCTATTTATAATACACGTAAAATAAATCAAATCTTTTCGTCTTCATTAATTGAATATCACCTTACCGTTTTCTTTTTTTCTTAAAATAAATAATATTTCGAACCACATCAATGGTATATAAAACTGGTCTCTTCGAAATTGAATAATTCTTTGTTACTACATTCCAAAATGATTATTTCTATAAACTTCCAAATGATTTTCTATGTAGAGATAATAATTAACCAATTAACGTTTATCATTGAAATGATCATGCGATCTTTCAAAAATTACTAATATTATTAATATTTTTTTATTGAGACATAAAATTAGTTACAATAACCACAGATAAAATTAACACTTACCAGAAACAGTCTGAAGCCAGGCAGAAGTCTTGAAAAGTGTCGTCGAAGGTAAAAAAAGAAAAAGTGGTATGGCCAGAATGGTAGCAGCTGCGAGCAGAATGGAAAATGCTGCCAAAGCGGAAGCCAATTTAAAGAAGAGACCAGGAACAGAAGAAGGATCTCCCAACCAACCGAGACACTCTTCAGAAGATCCTCCGTAGAAACACATCTTCCACAGTCCAAACCTACCAGGGTACTCCGAGTCAGACGTGTCACCCATCCATTCCGGTGTGAGGAAGGCAACGACCACGATGATGGCGTAACATATAGTGAAGATGCCCCAAAGAACCCCGATCGCCTTGGAGTTCCTAAGGTAATTGGTGGCGTAAATATGAGAGGAGTCGACGTACTCTACTTTGGATCCCATCCTGGGCTGACCTCCACGACACACTAACACTTACTGCTTCCTTACCTCATCCCCACTACATCCCCTCCACTCACAGCATTACTAGCCTCAGCTAAGGTCTTACCGAACACTGCAAAACACATCTCTTAGTATAAAAATGGTAATAATGGCAACCGATTCAGTAAGAATATTCTCTATTTAACACATTAACTAAGAGAAAAAAAAAATATTTAATTCTTTTTATTTATTTTTATTATTATAGCTAAGCAGCGATTCATTTATTTTATGTATTATATGTAGTTCTAAGTATTTTGTATATAGTTTCTTCAGTTTTTTTTTAATTTTTTGTTAGTTTACATAAGGTACTTTTATTTTATTAAATTAAACTCTTTTTATTTAATGTAGTTCTTTTGGCCAGAAGTATTTCTTTTGTTTGGTAACCTTCCGTTATTCCCAGGGGACCTCGTCCTTGAATAAATTTATTTTTCTATTTCTATATATATATAATATGTATATAAGTATGCATGTGCTTTTTGCTTAGTTTAAATTTTGTTATTTTTAGGTTATTTTATTTTATTTATTGTATATATTTTTGATTATTATTTATTGTTATATGGAAATAACAATAAATAATAATAAAAAATATAAACAATAAACAAGTAAAACAACCTAAAAACAACAAAATTTAAACTAAGCAAAAAACACATGCATACTTATATACATATCAGTCTGGCCAGAGACAGCGTACAGTTCACATCACTCCCGTGAAACTCAGTCATTTTTTACATAAACTAATCTATTTCATAAATTTTTTTATAGTAATTTCACATAATAGTATTTTTGTTTTTTAATCCACCGTAGTTGCGTCTTAAATTTATTTACGAATCATTGTACATAGAAGAAAGTACGTGAACCACCTGCTGCAGAGCGAAAATAAGTAGCTAATTCCTTTGAGACGGAGATTATTAAAGACCATCAACACGCCTTTGTGATAAACAACACTTTCCTTGCGTGAGAGAATTTTTTTTTTTTCTTTCAACTTTTTTTTTTCAACAAAATTGTACAAGGCTCAACTTGTGACGCCCCTATCGTGAGAGACGACAAATATAATTCAAGCTGTAATAAATGCCGCGTAATATTTCACTGCAAATGTTGCAATTACAGTGAAAAAGAGATTGACGCTATAGAATTGCAAAAAAAAAAAAAAGCGTGGCTATGTAAAAAGTGTGAGCAGGGTAAAAAGGCTGCCCCGACTAGTGATAAGTCAGCCAGTCCATCCAAGAACTACACCAGAGAACCCTCCTCATCGGATATAAAAATGAGGATATAAAAACGTTGCTTGAGAAGTATGGTGAACTCAGTTTCGAGTTGAATAAGAGGTTCACAAAAATAGAAGGACACCTTGAAGCCCAAGCGAAACGCCTAAAAGAACTCATCTCAGAAAATAAGATGCTGAAACCCAGAGTAGGCGAACTTGAGGTGCGTGTTAACAAATCTGAGCAAGGTCTACTTCGTAGATCAATAGAAATTCTCGGGGACTTGAAATGGGACTTTTCTACCAGGGATATTGGTTGGCAAGAAAACGACTCCCACCGGTTATACTTCGGCGAAGAAATGTCTCCTATGAATAGACGTCTGTACTGGCTCGCCCGTCAGAAAAGAGCAGCAGGCAACTTAAAATACTTATTACACGGTGGGCCGTGCACCTCCCCCTTACCGTGCGCATCCCCCCCCCTCCACATCCCTATAAATTGCATTTTTAACCTCTTTATTCTATACGTAGGTCGTTTAAGAAGACCTCAATTGTAAAAATGATATATAGATATAGATAGTTTATTTTATTTGTCTAAGGAAATTCCTGTACAAATAAATATAATGATATAATTAACAATGTTAGATCTTGAGTCTAGTACTGCACTCAAACATAACATTAACAATGTCCGCAAGTATGACTAATTTAATATAATATAATAACAGATTAGTAAACGATATATATATATATATATATATATATAAGTTAAGGTACGGAGCGGCACAGTATTAGCGTTAATACCAAACGTATCGATGTAAACATGGTCTAACTGTATATATAGAGGATTAGAAGCAACAATAAAGGAGTATTGATTTCGACTTCATGCGTTTCATTTCGTTAACCTTTTTTTCTTTTTTTTTATTGTCACAAGTCCGAGACACTTAACTGGTGCCGAAACCAGGGAAAAAGGAGTGTGCGGGGGTATGGTATTTTTTTTTGGTGAACAGAAAATTTTTTCACGAAGATGCCTTAATTCGATCTGAGGCAGCCGGCTCCTATGAACGTACCGGAGATCCCTCCACTACCGCAGGGACCTTTCGCTGCGGCCCATGTAAACGCGATCGAGTGGATGAAGATAAAAGGAGCCACGTCGCAAGACCTGAGGAAGGCGGTATCTGATCTCGAGCGCTTCACAGGAGAAACGGGTGAGCTAAACCATTTTCTCAAGGGTGGAGATCGCATTATGACAAGGATAAATGCGAAGATAGATGAAAACCTCGTGAACGCTGGAGACGCAGAGACCCTGAAGGCGGCTCTCGTATGCAGGGTCAAGAGAAGCATATTGAACCATATCCAAGCGGACGAAGAAACACCGTGGGAGACCGTCAAGGAAAGGTTGAAGAAGGCATACGGAGGCGGCAGGTGGACCACAGAGGAGGATATTTTTCAGATGTTTCGAGAGACGAAATCCGGAAGGCAGTCGAAGGGACAGTATGCCGGTACACTCTTGGCTCATTATAACCGCATTACGGAGAAGATGAGGGAAACTGCGGGTGCTCCGGAAGTAGAGGCCAAGATGGCCTTCTTGTCTACCATATTAAAGGTGCAACTAGCGAAGGAGACCGGGAAGAAGGATGGCTTACCCAGAGAGCGGTCGTTCATCGAATGTGCCCAGGAGATGGTAGATTCCAGCGCCAGGGAAGAGGAAGCCCGAGTAGAGACTGAGAAACCGGGGTGGAATAGGGTGTTCTATAGAAAGCCGAGGAGCACACCAACCGGATGGAAAAGGAGGGAGTCGGCTTATAATGGTAGGGAGAAACAGATAGGAGGTGAGCGTAGACCAGGGCAAGACAGGACAAGAACCAGCCAGAGGAAAGAGGACAGGAAATGTCATGGCTGTGGGAAAAGTGGACAATGTCCCCGCACGAAATGCTTTGAGTGTGGGACAGAAGGACACATTGCGAGGCAGTGTCCATACATTTACTCGAGACGAGACTCGCAACGCGGAGAGGCAATGGAAGTAAATGCTCAGCGGTTGAGGAGAAGGAGTACGCAGTCGAGGAGGAGTGACTCATCGAGGGACTCTACGGAAGAATCGGCAGCAACCACTGAGACAGAAGAAGAACGGGACGAACCAACGGGCAGGGAGAATGAGAGGAGCAGAGAGGGGCGAAGGAGTAGCGGAAGAAGCGGATGGCGTCGAGCTGAGGAGAGGATCTGAGGAGAGTGGCAGCCGAGGGGTGACCGCACGCTAGTCAACCATAATATCAGAGGGGAAAGCTGCTGGTTGCCTATAATAGAGGTGAGAGGAGGAGTGCGGTGCTTGGTGGACACCGGGAGCTCCAACACGATCATGACTCGGGGAGCTGTGGAAAAGCTGTAAGGCAGAGGAAGTACACTCCAATTACAGGTATGTAACTGCAAATTAATCACCCTGGGTGGGCCGTGTAGAGTAGAGGGGGAAGTAGAGATAGGATTATGGAGGTGGGCGGCCAAGAGAGGCAATCTTAGGGTGCATGTGGTAGCAGAAATGGCCCGGGAGTACCAAGTGATTATAGGGTGTGATATGTTGGGAAAGATGGGTACGCGAATCATAAACAAAGGGGAAACGTGGAAGGTAGAGATAGGTAAAATTAAGTACACGAGCAAAGCGATAATAAGGAAAGAGGACTGTAGAGCGTGTATAGGAGCGATATGTCGAGCGGAGGATTGGAGGCCAGCTGTGAGAAGGGAATTTGAAGATATTTTTTTCAAGGAAGGGGACACATTGGGCGCGACTGGGAGGACGGTGCATGAGATCCCGCTGAAGCAAGTGAAGGTGAGTTATGTGAAGGAGAGGAGATATCCTCAAGCTCTTCGCCAACACATCAGGGAGGAAATCCGAAGCTTGAAAGAGCAGGGAATAATTGTGGACAGCACGTCACCATATAATAGTCCATTGTGGGCGGTAAAGAAGAAAAGAGCGCCGGGAGATAGTACGGAGAAATATCGGGTAGTTATAGATTACCGCAAACTTAACGAGAACACCGTCGATGAGAAAGACCCGATCCCAAATTTCGAAGACATTTTGGATAGGTTGAGCGGGGCAACAGTGTTCAGCACTCTGGACTTGAAAGCGGGGTATCACCAAATTAAAATGCACCCGAGAGACCAGGCGAAGACAGCGTTCACGTTCGAGAGAGGGCACTGCGAATTCACGAGAATGCCATTTGGACTCAAAAATGCCCCTATGACATTCCAGAGACTGATGGACGAGTTCCTAAGGGGGATTGACGAAGCGGTGTGCCAAATTTATATGGACGACTTGTTGGTGTTCAGTAAACCGGAGGCAGAACACGTAGAACATCTACGGAGCGTATTTGAAAGGGTGAGACAATTTGGACTGAAATTGTCCAACGAAAAGTCGCTGGTGGGACAAGACCAGATAAATTTTTTAGGCCACACCATCTCGAAAGAGGGAGTTAAACCCGATGCACAGAAAGTAGAGGCAATAAGGAAAATGGCAATACCTCGAAATGTAAAAGGGATTAGGAGGTTGTTGGGTACCTTTAATTATTATCGACGGTTTGTGCCCGAAATGGCGGAGTATCTGGTGCCCCTTAACAATTTACTGAAGAAAGGTAGTAAGGTGGTAGTAACCCCAGTAATGGAGGACAATATTCGGAAATGTATGGCGCGGCTGCAGGAGGAACCAGTATTAGCGTTTCCGGACTTTTCAAGGGTATTTACCATTACAACGGATGCTAGTGAATACGCGTTGGGGGCGGTGTTGGTCCAGGAAGGGAATGGGGGCGATCGCCCGG